AACCTCTCCTTCTAATTCATAGTCTGATTTGATTTTCACTACCTTGGTTATAAATGCCCCCCATTAATGATTTTCTAAATTGTTACTATTGAGTGTACAAGTTATACTCCAAACATTCTATTGAAATTATCATACATATATTAGTTTCATGCATTGTATTAAATGTCATTCATACATGTTGAATATGTCGATGTTTCTAAGTTCATGTCATGATCATGTGGTCACAAATTTGTGGAGAGCAATGAAGTGATACAATTGATGATTATTTCATGTTCTATGTTAGAAAAGTGGTTTTATAAGGGCTTGTGCACACATAAAATTCACCCATCTGTCTTGACCATATGTGAGATGAATTAGGTGATGCATAAATGGAGTTATAAGGGAAATCAAGCTATGTATAATTTCTCTATCTGCTCTAAATAGATGTGAGGTGATCACGTAGAGGTATAAATGAGAATAGATATATAAGAATGCATCATGACATGTGCATGTGAATGATGTTTTGCATGATTTATATACAAGTCTTCTTGCATTTCACCTTATGTTATGCCCACGTTTAAATGAAGTTCATGTTATTGCCGCATACAGGCTCAGGAACTAAAATGTTGGTGCTGCTTATAATTTCATGCTATTGTCCCTTACAAGTTAAATAAATGTATACTATTGACATAAAATATAACTAATGTTAATAATTAAGTGTACTAAATAGAATATTGCATAATTATCACCTTTCTTTAACTAAACTATTAAACTTCATATTTATTTCTTATGAAATTTGTTTTAATTATGAATATTGAATTCTTTAGTAGGTCTCAGGTAGCTTACTGAGTAACTGATTTTTCTCACCCTACATATGTTTATATTTTATTTCAGGAAAGGTAAAGCCTTAGCTAAGTAGAGATAAAGTTGACCAAGTCAAAAGTTTCGGTTGTAGGTGTATGTCTATATTTTAGAGTTATACTTTTATAATATAATCATTTGTATATATGAGTTGATATGAAGAAAAAATTATATTAGATTATTATAAATGACTCTTTTGAAGGAATATGAGTTGTTTATATTTTCTTATAATTTGATGATTTAGTTGGCTCTGATTTACTTATTGATGATGAGATTAAGTAAGAGTCCAGCCATATTTCACTAACAAGTTATGGGCATCATGCACATTAAGCCAACATTAGTGCCAAAATATTGGAGCAGTGTAAGCTGACAAAATTGTATCATGGGAGGAGGGTGAACAACTTGGTTGGTTGCATTAGTAAGTTTTCATATCATTGTTCCCTGTGTTTTTGGAACAATTATTACGTCCTCTGACCAGACGTAGAGGTACGTTCGGCCGCCAATAACATATCGCCACGTGTTCTTACTCTTTACCGCGCGGCCCGACGACTTGACCCGGAGCGGAACCCAGGAATGCTTTATTTTTTTGCTCAGGATTTGCTCGGGATTTGCTCAGGATTTGCTAGAAAAATCTAGGTACAACTCAGTATTTGCTCAGGAGTTGCTTGGTATTGCTAGGGATTTGCTCGGTAGTGCTAGGTATTTGCTCGGTATTGCTAGAAAAATCTAGGTACAACTCGGTACAACTCAGTATTTGCTCAGGAGTTGCTTGGTATTGCTAGGGATTTGCTCGGTATTGCTATGTATTTTCTCGATATTGCTAGAAAAAACTAGTTACAACTCGGTACAACTCAGTATTTGCTCAGGATTTGCTCGGTATGGCTAGGGATTTGCTAGGTATTGCTAGGTATTTGCTCGGTATTGCTAGAAAAAACTAGGTACAACTCGGTACAACTCAGTATTTGCTCAGGATTTGCTCGGTATTGCTAGGTATTTGCTCGGTATTGCTAGGTATTTGCTCGGTATTGCTAGGTATTTGCTCGGTATTGCTAGGTATTTGCTCGGTATTGCTAGGTATTTGCTCGGTATTGCTAGAAAAAACTAGGTACAACTCGGTATTTGCTAGATATTTGAAATATATCCAAAAAGTGATGGGATGTTGTTCGGTTTGTAAAGGAATTAAAAAAATGCATGTACGAGAACCCAAAAAACGGCGGGTCGGGGCGGCGACTTTTCTTAATGCTACGTGTCGCTAAAATATTGGTGGCCGAACGTAGAGGAGCGTACGTTCACCGAACCAAATAATTGTTCGTGGGCAAGGGAGGGAATGTTGGGTCAAGCTCGGATCGTGTATTCCGTTGGTTCATTTTATAATAATTATTATTTTCTTCCAACTAGCCAAACGAAGGATTCTAAAACCAAAAATCTAATTTTTATCTCATTATATGAGATCAGCTACATCAATTATTTTTCTCCATTATATCATATTAAGAGTCAATTTCTCATTTAAATCTAATAAAAAAGATTATTCATAATACTTGATAACTAAGTTTTTTATAGGCCTACCTCTATTTTCTTTAACTTAAGTTGTATACAATAAATACATCTACTCCTAACAGGATATTCGGAAGGCCGATGTTTTATGTGACCAAACCATCTAAGGCGACTCTCTCTAATCTTATCTGCCACTAGAGTATTTTCACATATATACTCGCTTCACATTATGTCTCTAAGTGTAAAGCCACTCATCCACTTGAGCATCCTCATTTTTGTAACACCTTACTTAATTTTATGCCTTCATCCCACTATGTGGGGTTGGTTACATAAATCTTTTTTCTCCATTGTGCCCTATTAAAAATTAAATTATCCATTGTTCATCACAGTTCATTGTGCTTGATCAAATCAAATATGGTGGTCCCTTCTTAGCAATTTCAATGATCTAAACACTTCGACAAGCAATCGGTTTTATGAGATGAATAAAATTTTAAGATTATAAATGATTAACACTTTTCAAAGTATCCTAAACTTTGGTGGTGTATAATTAAGGCTATCACTAACATTTTAAAACACATAATCTCCACAAAATATGATTTAGCATAAACAAGTAAAAATTTAAAGTAAGATCTATCAGATTTAGGCTCCGTTTGGAATTGCTTTCTTATTACTTCTTAAAACAGTTTTTTAGTACAAAAAATTTTATTTTTTACTATAAAGCTGCTTTATGAAACAGTAAGAAAGTCATCCCAAACGAAATCTTAGATATATATTAGACAAAACTTTAAGGAGATTTAATTCATCCTTCTCCAAATTGATTTAACCATTAACCCCAATTTATATGTTGTCAATTAGCTTCTCTTCAGAATTTTCTCTCCATTTAACCATTAAGCTCCAATTGATTCAAATCTATGTTTTTTTTTAATAAATTAGATCCTCAGAGCTCTCCACAGGTAACCACTTCATATCACTATCTGTTCACTTAGGCTTCGTTTGGGACGGCTTTTTTATTGCTTTCTAAAACGGAGTTTTAGTACAAAATTAAAAAAAATTGTACTAAAACTCCGTTTTAGAAATCAATAAAAAAGCCGCCCCAAACGAACCCTTACACACATCTTTTAAAAAGCAGCTGTCCAACAGGTATTAAAAACAAGTAGATTACCCACCGCTGTTTGTCTGGGTGGTGAAGAGCCGGTTGGGCAAAGCCTAGGTCTCGGGTTCAAATCCCTTGGCAAGCAGTGAAAGCCTTAAGTGTTGGTCCGTGTAAATTGGTGTGGGTTGCATGCTAGGTCGACCGGGATTTTCACTGGCCTATAGACAGTGCTTCCTCGTCACAAAAAAAAAAAAAAAAAAAAAAGAAAAAAAAAAAAAAAAAAAGTAGATTTGGGTCAGGCCACCCATTTGGCACCGGCTATGGCACATCCTACCTGAAAGAGATGCTGTATTAGCTGAAGCTGGAAAGCGTTAGGTGATATTTCAGTTCATTCTATTTCAGTATTTTTTGCTGACCATTTAGTAGGTATCAGGTTTCTAAAAGTTCTTATTTCTTCTGGTTACAGATTAGATAAGAATATTTATCTTTATATCACTATATTTTGACAAAGCATTGACAATAATTTCCCTGAGCTTTTAAAATCACTTTCAAACAGTTAATTCCTTTGTATCTAACATTATTTAATGCATGACTTCATTAGTTCATTTACCAAACTTTAGTTTCAGATTCAAATTGTGATGTTACAACTGGTGAGTAAGGATTAAACCGCTACGAAAGCTTTTCGTAGGGCCTAATGGCACAAGTTATTCAAGGAGTTAGGTTTGGTTTGGGATAGCTTTTAACTTTCTTACTGCTTTAAGAAGCAACTTTTTAATACAGAAATTTTTGTACTTAAAAATTGTTTCATAAAATAATAAGAAGCTGTCCCAAACTTAGATATAGAGGACATGATTCCACTTTTCAGATTAAAGTTTTGTTTGGGACGACTTTTTTATTGCTTCTTAAAGCAGCTTTCTAGTAAAAACTTTAAAACTTTTGTACTAAAAAACTGCTTTAAAAACAATAAAAAAGTCACCTCAAATGAAACCTAAATCTCTCTCTTGACTATTATTATTTTATTTATTGGGTATATTAAAATGGTTTTCTGATAATCTAGGAAAATGTTTGCAGCTTTTGGCTGGATCCAGTATTATAGCAGGGTTCAGCAATATAATTTATAGTTAAATGATTGTTTTTTAGGGGCTGGATCTTTCTAATAATTACATATACTAGCCTTTTAAGGAGGTTTAATTTCACTGGACCACTAATAGTGGCTTTGCTTGCAATATACAATTAATGATATTGCAAAGCATGTGAGCTGATGATTCCAGGAATTTTTTTTTTTGTTTTTTCTCATTTGTTCATTTGTTTGCAAGCCATCAATTTATTTATTTATTTTTTTATATGGTTGAGAAGCACCTTTTGGAAAGTGCTTCTTAAAAACAGCTTTTTTTAAAGCAAATTTTTCAAAAAATAGCTAACTTTCCTTCAAACCCATGGGATGCATGGGCCTTGCTTTTGGTATTTTTTAGCTTCAAAGCAAACAGAAAGTATTTTCAAATGAGCCTCTCTTACTCTTTGTACTTGTTTGTCAGTCTCTTTGCTTCACTATACTTCTTCATTTCGAAGCTAAGTTCCTCTTGGTTGGATTCTACTTTCGTTGATGTACCTTTAAGGGAAGTAGCCAAAAAAAAACTAAGTGAAAAAGTCTGATTTATGGATCCATATTGAAGAAAAGAAGGAACAGAAAGTGAGAGTTTCATTAATCTACAAGGAAAATAAGGTCCCACCGCAATAAATTGACTTGCTACCTAAAAGGTCATGATGCCACACAACAATTGTCCTAAATTAATATTTACTTGGGTATGACTCAATCACCAAATGGGTGATCTACTCGATGGTCCTTTTATGATGAATTATTATGTGCGCACGCCGACCGTCATCCAGAACCCAATGAAAATGCTCCAAATCACCCTCTACTCAGTACCGCGGCTAAATACTGCTCGGTACTGGATGACGTGACTGCACCTGAATCGCCTCTAGACAGTAAGCTCTGTCCGGTGTCCGCACAGAATAATCTCTCCCTTTATCCACTCTAGCTTTCCCTTTCCCTTTCCAACCACTGTTTTCCCCAATTAACTATAGATTCACCGTTTATGTCTTAAGAGTTCAGATCTTGTTTGCTCATAATGTTTCAGATCTGTACTGTATAAACCTCAATTTTTGCTGTAGCACTCAATTTCTTGCAGAACTTCTCTCGACTTCACATATTATAATATGTTTTATGGAACAAATAATGTCATTTCATTTGTATTCCGGTGAGATATTACACTAATATCTAGTTGAAATGTACAAAATAATTGAAGTACTAGATTTGAAAAAGAAGGGCATTCTCTTAGAAGATTCAAAGCAGGATTAGCATTTCATTTAAAATATCCTTCTCCAGTTTGGAGCAATTAGTTCAGTGGTTGGGTTAAGTGGTTGGGCTATCATTCATGTTGATCACCATTTACTTAATAAACTAACTTTGTTGACATCTGTGGGGGCTAATAGAGAGTTATCCTCTCTTTCCTTTTAAGCCAAGCATAGTCTCCTTTGATTCAAATACAACTCAAGCCTGCAGCACTGAAGTCCCATTCATCCAACACCATGGGGAAGGTCATCAAGACCTTGAGGAAATCCATCAATGCCTTTCTTCATTTCTACCACTCCCTCGCCTCCATTGCTGCCATCCTCATCTTCCCTTTCTCTGCATCAGTCATCCTCTCACAATCACTCTCCCCCTCTTACTTCCCAATCCTCAGAACTCTCTACCATCGCATCCGACTTCTCTTCGAGGCTGCCGGCTTTCCGGCCACCTCGCAATTCTTCTCCCTCCTCAACCTCAAGCTATCTCAAACCATCTTCTCCTTCACCGCAACTCTTCCCTTCACACTAACCTTACTTCTCCTTGCCAAAGCCTCGGTGATCCTCATCGTTAAAGAATTCCCTTACAAAAGATTCACACCACCTCCATTCTCCTCTCTCCTTCGGCTCTTCAGCTTTCTGCTACCAACTCACCTCTTCAATTCATTTATCATCCTCTCTGCAAATGCTGCTTTCTTCTCTATAATCTTCCTTGTCTTCAACGTTGTTGATGCTCTGTACATCTCTTCTGTCAATGTTATCCTTGTTCTTTCAGCTGGAAGCGCTATTCTCTATTCAATTGTGCTTGCAAACACAATGGTGGTTTGTAATCTTGCAATCGTTGTTGCAGCAATGGAGAGTTGTGGAGGGTATCTTCCAATCCTGAAGGCTTGTGTTCTTATCAGAGGGAGGGAGGCCACTGCTATAACATTAGCTTTGCCTGCAAATTTGGCAATGGCTGCAATAGAAGCACTGTTTCAATACAGGATAATGAAGCCATGGCAGAATTCGAGGAGTTTTAGTGTTTCAGTTATTTGGGAGGCCTTCTCAATCACTTATATGCACTCACTCCTCATAGTTATTGATGTCATCATCAACTGTATGTTATATAAGAGTTGCAGGAAAAGTAGCAGGTCTAGTAGCTGGGAGAGTGGAGTCCATTACCATTTGGAATTAGACCCAGAGGAGAAGGAGGATTTAGAAGCATGAATGTTGAGAGATACAGAACTTTCTATGAGTTTTCATTTTAAATAGAATACATTAGAGTTGATTGAATGGAATGAACATATATGTGTGCGTGTTTGTGGCCTAATTGTGAGCCTTTATTGGAGGTGTACAGAGTTCTTCCTCCTGCAAAGAAAAAGAAAAAGAACAGAAGGAGAAGAAAAGGGAGATGGAAACTGGAGTTCTGTATAATGTTTTTCAAGTTGAATTGATAAAATTTTTGCTGAATTACTGCAGCTACAGTTTCCTTATTTTTTGTATGTAAAATAATACCGAATTTCTCAGAGTTGTTTACTTGTCTGGAACAAATTCCAGGTTATATTTGATATTTTTGTATGGTAGAGAAGAAGATAATTGTCTAACCAGCAGTTAATTTAATGAGGACAAAGTCCTTCAATATTTGCTGACCAGAAAAGTCCCATTAAAAAGATTGGAATGCGAAGCCGATCTATAAATGAATAAAAGCAAGCAATGAGCTGAGTCTCGATGATTAAAAAAGTTAGAGAAATAACATGTAAGATGAACACATTCCAACATGTCACAAACAAATGAGGTGAAAGGTTTTATTTGGGATGATTTTTTATTACTTTTTAAAACAACTTTTTAATTTAAAAATTAAAATTTTATATTAGAAAGCTGCTTTTAAAAAGCAGTAAAAAAACTGCCCCAAACGAAACCTAGGACTTCCGCATGAAGAGAAGATTACTGAAATATTGAACAAATTTTCAGTCACACCAAAGTTTTTGATTCAATTGATATATTTTTCTGGTTGTTAGAATATAGACCTGGGGGTTGAGATCTAACAGTTGCGGTTTGAAGGATTTTTCCTGCTCTCTTCAAGAATTAAATATGTATTTGATTCTATGTATAGAAAATCAAGGAGTAAGTTAGCTTAAAACCTAATCAATTAATTTAAACCCAATCCATGTATGCTGTAGTCAACCTATTATTGTATGTGGCACGGCCAGTAAAGTGTTAGGATTCCGATGCAGGTGCATAAACATGCGCCTGCCACACGAGAAAATATTATATAAAGAGACCAAATATAGAATACTATTTAAAGACCAATCAGAATGTGCAACATCATCAAAAACCAAGCCACGGTACCGAGCAGTACCGAGCAAAAGAGTGACATGACACATTCTAATTGATCTCCAGACGACGTTTAACGTCCGTACATAATAAGTAATCCTGCCACACTAGGGCATCTGATGCAAGACGAATACCAATGAAATATCAATTTATTGAATTGAAGCACTTCTTAGACTTAGGGCAGTTAGAAAAAAATTCCTTCGATTGTATTAATTTGATAATTCTCTCTCTCTCTTTATAGAAACCACGGTGCTTCCAATGTAATTTGAGCTCAATTTGATATGGCTGTCATTGTTGTGTAACTAGTGTTTGTAACGAGCCCTGAAATAAAACATACGAGTTTGATAGATCTGTTATCTAAATGAACAAAAAAATTGAATTCATTTGATAAAATAGCAACAAATATTATCATTTTTTTATTTTATTATAATATACTTAAATATTATTAATTAATACATAATTAATTAAGCCAATTTATTCATTAAATAAATAGCTAAAATTCAAATAAAAGAATACTTTGATTGCAAAAAACTATCTAAATCATCATGCTAGAAGAGCTGCTTTCAACTTTCCATATAATCAAAGCTAACAAACATTGCTACTCAAAAAATAAAATAAAAAAACATCAAAAGTCATTTTCAAGCAGACCCTTAGACAGCAGCCGAATCAGCTAAAGCATCCAAGGCAGCTAAACGTGGGAGAATAAGGCTTCCATTGGTTTCTTTAACTTTTCCGTTTCAAAAATATCAATCAAAGAAATGGAGATTTTAAAGGGAGAAGCTACAATCATAACGCTTCTCAAAACAATAAGGAAATGAAGTTTCCGAAAAAACATGCGTCACATTCAAACAACACGAAAAAAGAAGAAGAAATTATGCCTTCCGAAATGGAAAAGATAAAATTAAGCCGTCTCACATATGATACAACACTGCATTCTAACATACATTATTTATCAATTGAATATAAAAGTTGCCATCTCTTTTCTCCCTTTGTTATAGACCAGCCTAGCTAATATATATATTTCTTCTTTTTTTTTTTACATACTTAGGTCAATTAAGACAAACTCACACACCACACATACGCAAAACTCGAACCCAACTTCTTGATTGGTAGACAAAGCTCCCAACCAACAAACCAATATGAGCTGCGCTCTAATACATATACAACCTATAAAGAATTAAAAAATAGAGGAATCATCAAAATAACCAAAAAATAGGGAAAAGAACTATATACAATGGTTGCGGAATCTAGGGCAGCATCAAACAAGAACGATAGCTTATGGCCTCAAAAACACCTGCAGGAAGAAGAAGAAATTTCAATTATTATATAAAAAGAAAAAGTGCAAGAATTAAACTCATCGTGACTCCATAACATTAACTGCTCGATTTGGACGATCCAAAAATCCCTTACAATCGAATGGATGTAGTCCATGCAACTGTGAGAATTCAAACACTCCAAACTCGAACAGATTAATATCACCGATCACAAATCTATGAGCTACAGATCAGTTAAATACCGCAGCAGATTCTCGTTTGACAGGATAGATGCCAACAGAAAAGCTCTGCATTCGGCTATGGGGACTTCTTGCCAGATCAAGCACACAGCAGATTCTTTGAGGTGGTTGTCAGTAAATCATATGTCAATGCTATAGCTTCATTTGGGACGATTTTCTTACTGCTTCGTAAAGTAGCTTTTTAGTACAAACATTTTATTTTTTACTAGAAAGCTGATTTAAAAAGCAGTTAAAAAGCCGTCCCAAACGGATCCTAAATCTCATCTCACAACGTTGTTATTTTTGCTGCTCTGTAGCCTTCGCCACTGCCTGCTGTTTTTGGTCACTCTGCCTATCTTCTGTTACCAAAAACAAAACCAAAAGAAGTACATGCAAGTGCTTCTTTTCCTTGGCCTTCTTCCTCATTTTCTTTTTGTTTTTTTCATTTGATGAATTTTGAGCTTTTGGACTTCTCTATTTCAGACTCGTGAGCTTTCTTCTTCTCAAGTTCAGCTTGTTTGCAATTCTCCTGGTGTGCTCTCCGAAACATTAGGACAAAGGTCGTCAGAGTAGAGATAACTGCATTGTGGAGGAAATGGTTAATGCCTGCAAAGAACTTTCGTAGACAGGTAGCAGACACTGATATCAACGAAAATGATTATGGTGTACATTCGGACTGTTTGACCCCTCACAATAGTATAATTTCTTTTCTTTGGTTTAGTTCGGACTGAATAGCACAATCTAAGATGCATCTCTACACCAACATGACAAATGAATTTGTCAATATATATTGGACACACCATCTACACATCCAACTAAAAATAAAAATAAAAAATAACAAACACCCATAGCCTAAATAATATATTTTCATTTTAGAATGTATTACATAAATAATTTAAGTAAAGCCATCTTACACCATTTTAAAATATATTATATTAAAAACATAACAGAACTCTTTCATTTTATTTTCCTATGATTTTTTAATAATGTTTATTTTCTTTTTTTTTTTTACCAAAGAATACATTTTCTCAATTCTAAGCTAACAATCGCATACGAATTTTTTTTTTCAATTGAGTTTATAGTATGATAAATTTAATTATATTATTTATAAAATGAGCAATTAAAATAAATTGATTATTATATGAAATTATGAATTCACATCACATTCATTTAATTTGTGTAATTACTATATATTATCTTTATATCGGAACCTCCCACAACTTTCAACCTCATTCGTCGAGCGAGGTCCCTGTTCCAGTCCCCTCCGAACCTTCCAATCCCGCAAGCAACTGCCTACCTCCACCGATCTCCCTTCCCACAGTCGCAAGCACCCAATCCCCGTACTGACACCTCCCATTACCGGCCCTTGATAATCGCAGAACCTGCACCTCGTCTCAGCTGACTCGAGCTTGACTCGTTTATGAGCTCACAAGTCGAGCTTATCGAACTCATGTGTCGAATTTGAGCTTATAATCGAGCTCGTATATTATACGAGCTCAAGTTCGAGCACAGCCAGACTCGGCTCCAAAGCTCATCGAGCGGGATGAATACAACAACAACAACAACAACATCAAGCCTTTATCCCACTACGTGGGGTCGGCTACATGAATACTTTTTCTCCATTGTGTCCTATTAAAAGCCAAATTCTCGTTTAAATCTAATAAAGAAAGGTCATTCCTAATATTTTCTAACCAAGTCTTTTTAGGTCTACCCCTACCTTTCTTAACACAAGTCAAATCTAATACCTCTACTCTCTTAACTGGGTCGTCGGAAGGCCGCCTTTTTATGTGACCAAACCATCTAAGGCGACTCTCTCTAATCTTATCTTCTACTGGAGCTACTCCAACCTTTTCACGTATATGCTCATTTCGTATCCTATCTCTAAGGGTAAAGCCACTCATCCATCTAAGCATCCTCATCTCTGCCACACTTAACTTATTATTATGCTTCTCTTTTAATGGCCAACATTCGGCACCATAAAGCATTGCAGGCCTCACTACCATCTTATAGAATTTTCCCAGATG